GTACGTAGCTCATCTCAGATATGTGTCTGATGCACTTGGTACTGTTTAAAGTCAATGGTGCAGAATAGAGCAGCGCTCCTACTTTGTGGTGGTGATGTGGAGGGTATCCGCTGGTGGATAAGTTCAGGTTGCACTGCAGATAGCTTCTAGAAATTCTCCATTATTTATTTGATAATTCATCGTCTTCTTTCGTGATTATTGTTCATGAGTATTAGTAGTTATTAAGCTTACGCATTGGGATCCTAGGATATAATTCACGTTATTATTCGTTTGTTCATTTCTCAATCCGCTTGTCCTGGCGAGGGTTTCGGCGGCAGCATGTTGAGTAGGGCGGTTCAGACCTCCCTTTCCCTGGCAACAGACTCCAGCTCTTCCAGGCCAGCCGAGCGACACAGTCCCACCAGCGTGTCCTGGGCCGGCACCGGGATCTTTGCCCAGTAGGACGTGCTGCCTGGTAGAGTTCCAGAGGGAGTCTATTGGGGGGCCTCCTTACCAGATACTTGAACCACCTCAAATGGTTCCTTTCGATCTGGAGGAGCAGCGGCTCGACTCTGAGGCTCCTCACCTGCTCAAGGAAAGTGAGCCCATCAACCCTGTGGAGCAACCTTATTTCAGCCCCTTGTACACGTGATCTCATCCTTGAGGTCATTACCCAAAGCTCATGGCCATAGGTGAGGGTGGGAATGTAGATTGACCTGTAAACCAAGAGCTTTGTTTGAGAACTCAGCTCCCGCTTCACTACTACGGAACGGTGCGGTGTCCGCAACACTGTGGACACCGCACCGATCACTGGCCGATCTCTCGCTCCCTCTTACTATAACGCGCGAAAGAAACCCCGAGGTACTTAAACTCCTCCACTAAGGGCAGCTGTTCCCCCCTCACCTGAAAAGAACAATCCACCGTCTCCCGGGAGTGAACCACGACCTCTGATTTGGAGGTGCTGATCCTCATCCCAGCCGCTTCACACTCGGCATCAAACCGTTCAAGTGCCCGCTGGAGATCACAGACTGACGAGGCAAAGAGGACAACGTTATCTACAAAAAGCAGTGACGCCACCTCCATGCCACCGTACTGGATACTCTCCATATCTCGGCTGCACCTCGATATCCTGTCCATGAAAATCACAAACAAGAGTGGAGACAAGAGGCATCTTTGGCCAAGTCCAACACCCAGAGCGAACGACTTTGATTTAACACCAAGAATATGGACACAGCTCTCACTCCAGGAATAGAGGGACTGGATAGCGCACAAAAGTGGCACCGGTACATAATACTGCCACAGCACCTTCCACAAGACATTGCGAGGAACACAGTCATATGCTTTCTCCAAGTCTACAAAACAGAGGTAGACTGGCGAAGCATACTCTCATGACCCCTGAAATCTCTGTCAGAGGGAAAAGAGCTGGTCCATTGTTCCACGACCATGACGGAATCTGCATTGTTCCTCCTGAATCTGAGACTCGACCACCGGGCGGAGCCTCCTCTTCAGCACTCTGGTGTAGGCTTATGCAGTGTGGTGAGTGGGTGAGTGTGTTGTGACCTGCAATGTGGTGAGTTTTTTGCGACCTGCAGTGTGGCGAGTGTGTTGTGACCTGCAGTGTGGTGAGTGGGTTAGTGTGTCGAGTGGGTTAGTGTGTTGTGACCTGCAATGTGGAGAGTTTTTTGTGACCTGCAGTGTGGTGAGTGGGTAAGTGTGTTGAGTGGGTTAGTGTGTTGTGACCTGCAGTGTGGTGTGTTGTGACCTGCAATGTGGCGAGTGGGTGAGTTTGTTGTGACCTCTAGCGTGGTGAGAGGGTGGGTGAGTGTGTTGTAACCTACAGTGTATTGAGTGGATAAGTGTGCAGTGACCTGCAGTGTGACGGTTGAACACAATTGATCAGACGAAACACTGAGTGTTTGGAAGACAGTCCTCAACATGAGTGGAGGAATCCATGACTTAAGTTTACGGGAACATTAACCATAGGTAGTAGCGATAAAAGAGCGATGAGGAGGTGATTGACCGCCAGTGAGCGAGTTCATGGAGTGAATCAGTGAGTGATGGATCATCAACCTCACTGAATCCCATGTAGTTGTACCGCAGGCGCACTTGACTGTGAGTGATGTTAACAATGATCATAGTTTCTTTTTCAGAGAGCGCCCTGGATTCCTCCGATAAATCTCCATGCGCCATACACGCAATAAACAACGTACGTCACGTCTCATCTGAACACATTTTTGAAAGGGCACCCCAGTGCCCCTGTGCTGCACAAGTTCAAACTGGCCTGCGAGCAGGCACGCGTCTGCCAGTATGGGGCGCCGATTGCTGCTGCGCGAAGTCGCCACTGAGGGTCACTGCAGTCAAATTGGAACCGTGGCGCCGGCACTCCTGTGGACTACTCTTCTCGAACGAGGTCACGGCAACGTTAACGTCGAACCGCGAAGCAGACGGCGCGTAGCCACTGTGCGTCGTTTTAATAACACCCGCAGCAGGAAGAACCCCGGGGCGGCCTGCCGGATCCAAAACCGCGAACCTCTTTAACGAGCTGCACCGCCCCCTGGGCCACGTTACCGAACCTTCAGCAGAACCACCCACCGCCGATTTGACTCCACCTCCCGTCGCGGCTGTTGAAACAATGGGGAAAGTTTCTCAAAGCACTCCAAACTTCTCCCCCCCCCGCCGCCGAGGCCTTTGTCCAGCCAGCTGTGTAAGTGGAGATGTATAGCAGCGGCCAACTCCTCAAAACGCGTGATGTTCACTCTAAAATGTGGAGGGGAAAAACTCCGGAGAAAAAAAAAAATCACGCGACCATGGGGGGAGAGACGCAAACTCCAAATATACAGCAGCAGGTGTGAGGGCCAGGGATCGAACCCACGACCTCCTGCATACCAGGCGAGGTAGTTAATATCTCGCCACCCCGACGCGGTAGTGAGCTTCAAAAACAATGTTAACACTTCCGAGAATTCGCAACAACACACCACAATACATGTGTCTCTGGGCACTGGAGACCACCTAGAGAAGATTCCAGGCATGCGTTAACAATGATGGCGAACGAGTGGAGACTTTTACTTTTTGAAGCTATTAGCATTTGTTATCATGTTGCGGTGTATTATCCGTTCTTTTTCCATTAAAAACGATAGTTCAATAATAAGTGTTAACCTTTTTTTGAAGCACCCTGTATAGCTCAGTGGGCATTACCTGGTAAAACAACAACTATATATAGTTTAGTTACATAACAACACAAACCACGCGTAATTGACACGAACAGTTAATAAGGTGGGAAATCAATGACGGTTTTCCGATCGGCGTTGAGAAACCGTGCCCTCGGCTCTCCCCGAGTGGGCGCTGTTCCCCGTGCGTGCAGCCCCATTGCTCCCGCACGACGTCGATGGCTTTCCTGCACGCGCCCTGTTGCAACGTGGCTCGTACGGTGCCGCGCGTGCGCCCCGACGAGAGAGACTCCACCTCAGAGCTCGCGTCGTGGAACGTGTTAGCCGCACATCTCGGAGCCTGGCGCTGGATTGCAGCGCTGTTGCACCAACGCTGCCGGCTCCGCTGAGGACTCGCCAGCTGCCTGCGTTTGCACTGCCTTCAAATGTCCGCGCTGTGCCGCGTGTCCCGCGTGCGCCACGGTGGCTAGGAGATGTTCGCTACCTCGCCTGGTGTGCAGAAGGTAGTGGGTTCGATCCCGATCCTGACGCCTGCTGCTGTCTACTTTTAGTTTGCCCCCCCCCCCGCCCGGGTGGATTTTTCTCTGGGTCCTCAGTTTTTCCCCCCCTCCACATTTAGAAATGAACATGCGCTCTCGAGCATCGGGCTGCTAGAACTATACACGGGATAATCCACTTCGTTTTGGCTCGTGTTTACCCCACCACAATTACACGCCTGCACCCCCACAATGACGCCAGCCTCGCACGCAGACCCAGTCACTTCTCAGCAACTACACGCGGTTGTTCTCGAGGGGATACTACAACGTGGTCCAGATGTCTCGTGACCCCCCATTTTATTCTCTATAACTTATGATTTATTTTTAAAGCAAGGTTTATTTAAAACAAAAATGAAAATGTAAAACTGGGAAAAATACTTTTTGGATCAATGAATTAGGGTCACAAAATATCTGGACCATTATATACATGGGGATAACCAGAGATTGTCGGCTTAGGCAGTAAAGTGAACAAAATACGGTATATCACGGTTAGCTACATACTGCGAAATACGTTCAACATACATACATGCTCTTGGGTGATGACCTTGAGTCTCACATCCCGGGGTTCGATTCCCTACCCCTCCACCTCTCCGTGTAGAGATTATAAGTTCTACCCCTGTTCTTCATGGTTCTCATTCGGATTATCTGGTTTCCCTCCCCCCAATAGCTAAATGCACACACACAATGTAACTCGTCCTGGCCAAAACATCCCCAATGCTTAAAATCTCCCGCTAATTATTATTCAATTGAGTCTTGAGACTCTAACTGCATCACGTGTTCCACACCCATGCTGCGATCTCAATCTTAATTAGAATTGGCTCAATTACCGCAGACTGCGTTAATTGCTTAGCGCATCACGTGGTACGTGTTTAACAATCGTCGGGTGCGTGCGGCGTGGAACGAGTTAATTTGAATGGTGGAGGAGTAAATTGGTAAACGTAAAAAAACCGGTGGGTCGCGAGGATTGGATTTTGGGGAAACGTGATGAAGCACACAAGTCAGTGTGACGAGCAAGTCAAAGCCTACAGCTCATGAGCGTCGTTTCACCATCGAAACATAGAGACGTCCCGACGGCTGCTTTGGAACCGGCTCACTAAACGCTTGTACGCGTGGTAATGTTGGCTGTGTCGGGTGGTGAAGGACTCTTATTAACGACACAAATTCGATCAGATAATTCCTTGTCCTAACCCAAAATGAATGATGAACGGAGTTTGACTTGGCGCTGATAGTGGGAAGACATCTCTTGTACTGCGTACACTTATGTCTAGAGAAACAAAGTGCATGATCTTATAAAACACAAACATTGTCAGGGACTCACGTCAAAATGTTGCATAAATTCATCTGCCAGACTGCTGTCCTGCTGCATGTCCAGGAACTCAAAGTCCTCCCCGATGGAGTCATGGCTGCGGTCGCTCTCGGGCTCGCCACTCTTCCTCCTCTCGCTGTCACGGACTCCGCTAGCTGCCGCCGCCGCTGCTGCTGCGTCTTCGCTGGCCGCACCGGGGCTGTCTCCGTGCCTCACTCGGAGGCTCCCGCGGTCCCCTCCCACGTCCTCGCGCGGCGCCGCATCGTCCTGCCCCGCGAAGCCAAACCCCGAGCCGTGCAGCGAGGCGACGCTGGCCGCCTCTATTCGAATCCTCGTGTCACCCTCTCTGCCGCCTCCTCCTCCATTGCTCGTCTGCCAGACGCTCTGGTCTCCTCTTTCCTGTGGCTTCTTGCCCTCATCCTCTTCAACCTCCTGTGCCTCTTGGCTTTCCCAGTCCTCGCTATTTCCTCGCTTAGCTCGCGCCTTGAACCGTTCTAGAAACGAGTCGGCCATAACGCCGTTCCTCGAGAAGAGAATCTCTCGACCTAATTTTACTTTAGAACACGTCTCAGTGGAACTCTGGCGTTCACTCGGCACTGTGGTAGGAGTGGAGGGGCTTGGAGGTTTATGAAACACGGTGCACGGGTGGGGGAGGCTGTGCCGTACAGGGAAGTGTCTCTGCTTCTGCACGTATGTCACCTATCGCTGCTGCCAGGAATGCTGGCTGGACTTTTCACCACTGTTCACTCACTGGCACCGGTTTCCTGGGCAATAGAAGTTCACCTTCCGCACTGCAATCCAGATTTAATTCGGACAATGCGTAGAAATCGACCCTTTATATTTTCATTGCTCAGGCATTTATTTATAACTGCAGTGAAAATGTAAACAATTGCGAATCTGTCGAAGAATTACGGCGATGAACTGAACTATTCGGACAAAAAATTGAGTTGTAAGTATCGCGAGAAAAATAATCAGTGAGGTTTTGTTTTAAATAGAATTTTTTTTTGGTGCGGCAACAAGAAAGGTGACATTCCTTCGTGACATGCGCGTGTGGTGTTGAAACGTGCATGTAAATCCACGGTGGCGCACCCAGTGTGCAGCAGAGCGGGCAGCCGACTTTTTATGACACGGGCGGTTTTGTACGGCCACGACCTGCGTTCCCCGTTCCAATTCTGAACATCTGTCGCAACAAACGCACGCTTTTGTTACGCTTGTTTTACGCTTGTTTTTACGCAACGAAAGCATGAGTCTCAATACTTTTTTTCAGGAGGGTCCTGGTAAGTTTGTTGTTGCTATGTCTAATTTCAATTTAGTAATTTGCAGGTACATTTTCAGCATTCAGATGTTTTGTATATACAGGTTGAATGCAATGTGTTTTAGCTATGTGACAAAAATTGAGAAGGTTGTGGAAACCCATGCAAAACTGGAGAACATAAAAACCCCACACAGACAGGGAGTCGAGTCAGGATTCGACCCTAGGTCCTTCTTACTGTGAGGCATGAGTGTTACCACTGCACCACCCCTGCCACACATAAACTGGCCATGAGTCGACTCCGTCCATCATTTCTCCACGGCTGATAAAATGAATATGATTTCATGGAAATATCAACATGGTTGTCCAAAAAGGGCGCTACCACAAAAATTTGGAATTTCCACAACTGGCTCGTGAATGGCCCAAGGCAAGCACTGCCATCGAGGACTTATTGGAATTGATACTTACAGTGTACACCTCGGGCATATAGTCGTTTGCATATGTACACACAACCACGAGAATACAAATACACACACGTGCAGCTATTATACACTACCCCAATAAATATTAATAGATGCATGCCTCTGCTTACACACATGGATGGTGATTGGTTTATGAATGTCTCAGCAAGGCCTTGCGGGGGAATTCTCAAAGTAGTGGGTGACAGGGAGGACCTCACAAAAATATCTACATTACAGTATATGACAGCAGTCACTGGGGGTGCCCCTTCGAATGATAGATATGAGATGTGATGCAGTGTGGGGCCCGACGTCCGCCCCGCCGCCCTCACGGGGAAGGTTGAGCGCAACGTCCGCCCATTCTTCTCTCTCCTCCACCGCGTCGGGCTGCCCTTGCCTGGCACCCACCGATCGAGTAACTGGGCCTGTGGTGCCACGGCCGCGGAGCAACTCCGCAAGCGCTGTGACTCCCCCCTGCCCCACACCCTGAACACACATGCACACACACACGCAGCACACACACACACGTAGTGTCCCGGCGGGGGATCGCCTGGCTCAACGGGTTTTCATCCAAAGGGCCCCTAGGTGGGAAGTCCCGCAGTTTCCCGATGCCAGGAGACTGGCCGACCCTCCCAGGACAAATCACATTGCGGCGCCCCTAAATTGGGTTAAATTGGTATGGGCACACAATGGTTCACCGGGCCAGCCGCAATGAGTCACGCACGACATTGGGGAGAGGGCTGGGGTGAAATATTAAGCGAGCAGAGCAGACGATGAGGTCAGGGGATACAAAGCATCACAGACCAAGTACACGCTAGCCGGGTGTGTATTCGCCACGGAGGCCCTTCCAGATTAAACAGGCTGAGTCAGGAATTAATGAGTACGTGTATAGAGACATGGGGTTGAAAAATAACGTAATGTAACGCTCCATGTAAGGGCAGAGAAACAGTTGAAAATCACAGGTAGGCGCACGATTGGCTGCGCAGGATGACGTAACTCTGGATTTCAAAAGTCAGGGGAGTAAAAAGAGGAGCCAAAAAATGGTTCAAGATAGTTCTAATCTTCAACAGCTTGGTCGCCAAGACCCCCCCACCCCTGCCGTCCTGCCTAACAGCGAGTGCTGCTACGAGGCAGTGATAGGCAAGGTTTTTTTCATCATTCTCCCTCCGACTCTCACAGCGTCCGTGCGGCGACATGAGCACACCTGCGAGATACGTGATAGGGCGTGTGAGTATTTGGGGACTTGAATAGCGGTAGGCTCGGCTCTGCTCGCAGAAAATTCCATCCGGCCAGTGCAGGGTTTGCGCTGTGAATAAACGTTAGCACAGAGCATCGGTGCAGTGTCTGTGATTTGTGTTTGGAGTGGCTGCACAGGCAGACGCGCAGCGAGAGTGAGGGCAGATCCGCAGCACGAGCGCTCGTTGATATAATCGCCTGCAGGTGCGCGCGCGTTAGCACCACCGCACTAGCGTTAGCTGTGGTGTTTCCACGTGTTAGGTGTGCGCGTGTTAGGATATAATCGCCTGCAGGTGTGCGCACGTTGGCGCCGCCGCACCAGCGTTGGCTGTGGTGTGTGCGCGTGTTAGGTGTGTGCGCATGTTAGGGTATAATCGCTTGCAGGTTGACGTGCGTTCGCGCTGCAGCACTATCGTTAGCTGTGGTGTGTGCGCGTGTTAGGTGCGTGCGTGCGTGGGTTAGAATATAACCGCCCGCAGGCGCGTATTAGAATATAATCGCCAGCAGGAGTGCGCGCATTCGCGCAGTCACTTTAGCGTTAGCGGTGATGTGGGTGCGTGGTAGGGTGTAATCGCCTGCAGGGGCGCGCGCGTGCTCGCCGCCGCGTTAGCATTAGGGGTGGTGTGTACGAGTGAGTGAGGGCTAACTCTGTACGGCGGTAAGCCAGTAGTTCAGCCATGTCTCTCCGAGAGGGCGCTGGTGCGGGAGGGCTGATCACTCGATCGGCGGGGGCCCGGTGGGAGCTGATCGATGCAGTGGAGGAGGGAATGGAGGGGGCGAACGTTGTGCCCCACCTGCCCGGCGAGGGAAGTGGGGCAGACAGCGGCCCCCACAGGCCCCTTTGGTTAACGCCGTCCCTAAGGGACATGCTGTATTGCAGGCCGGGGCCACGTGGAGTTAAAACTCACACCCGCGCACACAGCAGCTGCCGCTAGAAAAAGGCTACGAAACGCTCTACCACCTGCACAATGAATTAGTACGTGTACATGGTGGCCAACACACGATGGCCGCTATGCGCCCAACCACCCACACAATTGACTCACTCACGTATACGTGGTAGCTCCACACGGAAACCACAACCACCATGCCCACATACAATCTGTGCTAATGCTTTTATTTTTGGCGCAAATAAATCCTCGAAAGTAAGCTGTCTAGTCGATACAACCCAAGAGGAGTGTATTGCAAGAACAGCCTTATCTACTGTGGCATACCCACCCAGTCAACAAAGCGTACATCTTGACTTAGAGCTTTCATGACTGCAGGTATTAATATTCTTTGGGTCTTTCGGTAAAGTGACGTAGATAGGTTCAAATTAATAATTTATTGAACCTATCTACGTGGTGGAGCTCAACGGCAGCTGCGAGGAAACAAGTTCGGTACAGCCACAGGTAGGTGCACAATTGGCCATGCGGTATCACGTGACCCAGGTCCTTTGAAGCCGGATATAAAAAGGTGAGACCGGGGAACGAAGGAAAATCCCATCTCCTACATCTTGGCCGTGAAGATCTCGGTCAGTCCTCTCTTCGGCACTCACAGCGTCCGTGTGACGCCAGGCTCTTCAGCGACGAGGTACGAAGTAAGACACTTGGTTGATATTCTTTGGGCCTTTCGTTAAGTCACGTAGATAGGTTCAAGTTAATAATTTAGTGGGGCCCATGTATGGAGTGAAGCCGTCAGGTATGGGGGGCATGGGTGGTGTGGGATTTCGGGGAACCCGAGAGGCAGGTGCCTCCCTGGCAGAAGTTACCTTCCAGAGTTTCAATCGGCAGATGTTTACCACCATCTCCCAACCCCTCTCCACCACCTTGAATCAGCACCATCCAGGGGGAGATTTGCCGCAACACGGTCCAGGGTGCTTGCCAGTATTTGGTTAGCATCCCCACCTGTCCGGAGCCTACACGCAGGGTATGCAGCCACACCTTAGAGCCAGCCGAGTAAAAGGGGAGCTCCACACGGGGAAGGGTGCCCTTCTCTTGCCGCTGGTGGGCAGCCTCCCCCTTCTGGTAGGCCCGGCCATGGGCCACGCCCAGGGTCTCCATTAGGTGCTCCATGGGTTGACTCCCACCCTCCGGTTGTGGTGGGGGGGATGCTGAACAACAGGTCTGCAGGTAGGCGAGACTCACAACCAAACATCATTAGGAATGGGGTCTGCCCAGTAAACGTGTGTACCGTGGTGTTGTAGGTGTAGTGACATGGGAGGGGAGGGGCTGCTGGGGGGCTCTGGGACCCTGGGCGGCCCAGGCGCTTGGGCTCCTTGGCGCCGGGTGCTGGATTCCCAGGCGGCCCAGACGCACTTAAGCTTCCTGGCCAGGGTCTGGTTCATGCGCTCCACCATACCATTCGCCTGGGGGTAGTACACTGTGGTTCGATCCTTCTGGATTCCGAACTCTCAGCACAGCGCCTGAAATAACTTCGCCCCGAACTCACTACCCTGGTCTGTAATGACTCGAATCCCATGTTTGAGCACGTAATGCTCAATAAACGCCTGGGCGACCACAAGGGTCGTCTTATCAGGGACGGCCACTGCCACTTGGTAACGAGTGAAATATTCCACAGCCACGAGTATGTACCGGTTGCCTCGGTGGGATCGCGGGAATGGCCCCTGTAGGTCGACTCTGACCAGCTGGTTAGCTCGGCTGATGCAGAACGGCCTCAAGGGTACCTGATACCATGCCGGTTTTTGCCCGGGTCCGCCATTCACCGTCATGGCCTCCAAGTGGGTGGTCGTGCACCAGCCACAGCAGCTGGGGTCGCACCTGGGCAGGAACACAAACACACCC